CCTCTAATGCCACCACCACCACCCCAAGGCTTCTGGATGGTCCCCTTCTGCCCCTCTGTTAGGACAGTTACTCCAGCCCCTCTAACACAGTGCAACCCCTCTCTTCCCAGTGGGAACCCCCACAGCCTCACTCCTGGGAGATCATCCTTGCCAGAGAAGCATCCCTCACTCCCCCACAGTCCTCACACTGATTCGCTGGGCCCAGCTCTCTGGTGTGGAAATGTCAGCAGTGAAGTCTCTCTTAGAGATGTAAAAGAGTAGTTGATTAGTCGACTACTTGCATTTCAGGGAGCAGAGGCAGCAGTGCAAGGGGGGCAGGGAAGGCTGCTCCAGTAGCAACCCCTGTCTGCAGGGGGATCTCAGTGGGGAGTTGGGACCCCCGCAGATAGGAGCTGCCGTGGCAGCAGCCTGTGTCCAAGGAGACTGTTGGACCCAGTGTGAGCAAGGACTGAGCAAGCCAAGCTCAGTCCCGGCTCGCGCTGGGTCCAGACACTACCCCCGCTGCAGCTCTGCCATTTAAATGTAGTAGGAGCCCTGGCTGCCTGTGCACAGCTCTAACTACATTTAAACTGCAGAGCTGCAGCGGGGGTCGCTCCTTCTGAGTGCCTTCCCTTATCGACCAATCACGTCGTCGATACAAATTATAGCCACTACACGATTACCCGGTTTCCTGCCTCTTAACATCCTTAGTCCTCTGCTGCTCCCCTGCCCTCAGTATTAGCACTCTGGCTTAGAAACAACAGGCAGCTCCTTCTGCTCTCTCTTCCTCACTTCAGCCTTCCAACTCTGGCTCTCTGGCTGGGAGAGGTCAGCTGGCATACCCCATTTGCTGTTCTCCTGCCTTCAGCATGCTTCCAAGAAAACATCTTCTCCCCTGGCAGCTGTGCCCTGCGCCTTTTCCTGATCCTCACTCAGGCAGCTCTGATACATGGGTCCCTCCCTCTTTCTCTCTCAGATTCTGCCTGGTCTTTTCTGTCTTCCAGGTACTTCCCCGCCCTCTTCATTGACTAAAGGGGAGCTGTTTGGGCACAGAGCATGGGACCTACTTAATTAATTGGGGCCTGCCACCCTGTGACAAGTGGAAGTGTCTGTCAGGGGATGCAAGGATTTACCTCATCGCCTGGCATATTCTCCATCAGTGAGACTCTTATGGAGCCCTGGCCTAAGCAAATCTGAGAGCTGTTTTCTCACTTGGTAGAATCCCCAAAAACTATTAGAAGCACAGCCTGTCCTCCCACAGAGTAAAGCAGCTCTAACTAACACAGCAGAAGTTATCTAGTCCAAGAAATGAAATAAAGGTTGAGAAATCAGGGCTCAAAGAACATATTGGGGTTTCAAGTCCTGTCATTTCTGTCAATAAGAGACCAAAAGAAAGCATGAAATGTGTTTCACCTGCATTGTATTATTTCTGTCCAATTCTGCATAGGCTCAGGGAATGGTTTATTTTTCTATTCTACATGGGTAGAGTAATTTAGGGGACACGGTTGAGTGAAAAAGGATTTATATCATCTATACTAAACTTCCCGACGAATGTGCATGCTTTCTACAAAAAATATTTTTGTTATTTCAGCAGTAATGCAAGTTGTTTAGTACACAATGAAGATCAGAATGTTTCTATAGCCTACTTTTGTCCTCAATGGACATCATCTCCTGGTAGCTACTCCTTGTCAGGCTTTACTGGTTAGATGCATAATATGATATTAGTACTGCAAACTGATGTAATGGAAAACATACTAATTATAGAGTATACTCAGACCTGATTCAAGGCAGAAGATTTGAAGCCATTAGCACTTCTACAACATGCAAAACCCACCTACTGCTGTTCTCTTCAAAACTGTCCACACTCATTAGTTTCCCCCACTTATCTGCTACTCTAATGTGGTAGCCACCAGGGATAAATGCCCTTTAATCCTTAAATTGCTGCTTCAGAAGTTAGTGTAGACTGATAACTGGTTGGTTGTGGATATTTGCCTACCTTACAAACACCACATCCACAATTGGCAACTGTATTAGTATTCATGATAAGGAAAGACTGTCCCATAAAGGAGTCCCAGGTGAGAGACAAAGCCCATTAGAAGGGAATTTGTAGGGATGATTTCACTAGTATTGACCAAGCTAGATCTTTCAATGAACAGAGAAAACTTCAGTCTCCAGGACTGTTATGTCCTGTGCCTTCCAGCAGCACTAATTTCTTTAATAATACAGATATGGTGCCAATCATTCTGTGGCATAAGCAGGACCTGGGCACTTTTACCCACAGCTGTCTTCTCAGTAGCAAGCCAAAGAAGATACTCTAACATCTTTGGGCAGTTTTCACTTGTCATTCATCAAATTCCCTTTCTTTGCACCTGCTGTCACTATCTAACGCTATGGATTCCATTTCCTCTCTGATCGGCCAAGGCTCCCTCATGCCATGTCCATGTACTCTGCGCAAAACTGGGTACTTTGTTTACAACGTGGCTTAGAGAAACAAAATCATGACCAAAAAAGAAATGGTTTTGTCTTTAGTTAAGGTGTCCCAGTTTCCCATGGGTCTAGAAATATGTTTAGTGCAGACTGAATTACTGCCAACACATCCCAGTATCCAAATCACAAAAATATCATTAGAATACTGTGCATATGATAAATCTAATTAGTTTTCAATATTGTTTACTTACAGCAAAGAATAAATACTACAAGTCCTTCTTTTGTGTTTTGTACAGATGCATTCTTTAAGACTGCTAAGCCAGAATCAGCCATCACAGATATTTCTGAGCATGAGTGACAATTTCAGACCAGTCCAGCCTCTCAACAATCGATGTATCCGAACTAATATCAACTTTAGTTTACAGGGTAAAGATTGTCCAAACAACAGAGCACAGAAATTACAGTATAGAGGTAGGTTTTCCATGAGGCACTGTCCAGAACAATAATTTCTACACCTACATTGAGTTTCTTTCCTTGGAAGATCCTCATTTGATTTACATAATATTTTTTTAGTATAATGTTTTTTATAAGACATATAAAAGCGAATCAATGTACAAATAGGTGTAATAGGATCTGAATGTGTCAGATTTCAGATATCAAGTTTAGAATATCTGAAATATAAGAAGTTTTATAATGATACAGAGCATCATAACACCACCACAGTTTATGACAAGACGACAATTTGAAGCTGTACGTTGTTATTTTTTAAAGAAGTGTTGCACATGCAAATGAGAATCAAAACGTAATTGTACTAGGAAAAGTTTCACACAGCAGATTCCGATATAAAGTGGACTAAAAGAATAGGCTTTATGATAATTGCAAGAAAGGTTACAAGGAAATAAAATAAAATGTATTTTTACTCTGAAAGGTAACTTCAAGGCCTAGTCTGCACTAACCCCTGCCATTGACCTAATATACATCACCTCAGCTATACAAATAGTGTAACTGAAGTTGATGTTCTTACCTCGGCATCTTGTGTGCAGCAAGGTCAGCAGGGGATGCTCTCCCGTCAACGACAGCTACTCTTCTCATCCTAGTGGAGAACCAGCATCAATGGGAGAGCATCAGAGATCTATTTATCATGTCTAAGCAGATACGATAAATCAATAGCTGGTGGTGGATTGATTGATGCAGTGTCAAACCCTGGTGTAGTGGAGATGAGCCCTTAGTAGTGTTAAGTTCCATGCTGATTATCTCAGCTATTTCCAGTAGGGATGTAAGCAACTAGTTGACTATCCGATAAGCAAAAGCTTATCAGTCAACTACTCCCTCGACTAGTCACTTCCCCCCCGCTTGCTGCTTCAATCAGATGTATTTAAAAGGCTGGTGTATTTAAAAGGGGGACCCTGCACGAGCTGGGAATCAGCTGTCCCAGCTCACATTGGGTCCCTCCTGCTGCGCTTTAGCCTTTTAATTGTATTAAGAGCCAATAGGCTCTTAATACATTTAAAAGGCAGAGCCACAGTGGGGTTAGTTCCTGGGCTGGGAACTAACTCTGCTGTGGTTCCCCCGCTTATCAACGAATTGACTAGTCAATGGAAAATCCATTCAGTAGTCAATTAGCTGATTAAACTATATTTAACATCTCTAATTTCCAGATCATATCTTCTCGCTGTATAATTATGACTTTTCCAATTGCAAACTCTGACTGTCTAGCTGAGATGTCTTTGGTTTTCACAGCATTGTTGGGGATGGTCCTCCATTGAGCAGGGAGTTACACTAAATGACCTCCTGAGATCTCTTCCAACCCTAATTTCCTACAATAAGAGGCACTGTGTATTCGAAACTCAGTTAATATCTGTTCATGTTATTGCATCTAGAGCTATGTTGGCTCCACACAGATCATAGGAATAAACATTCGTAAAAATGGGATCGTCTTGAAAGTGAGCAGATACGATTTCACAAATATTTAAACAGCTCAGCTGAGAAGTCAAGTGCCATTGTAGATTTGAATCAGACTACATTTGATAAAAACACTAATATCAGGAAAGATGGTAGTAGAACTAGTCAGAAATAGGAAGCTCGGGTTTCCGAAAGGAATGATTTTTGGGACAGTCCAAATTTTTCAGTTCATAATCCCCCTTCTCTGTTGCCACTGAAAAATGAATGAAGGGGGAGGAAGGACTAGAAAGGAAAAACATTTCTGGAAAAAAAGTAAAGCATGACTAAATATTTCATTTTCCAATTTTAAAAAGTAATTTCCTATTGAAAAAGACCTTTTTCAATTAAATATTTTTATTTAAAATGTTTTGACCATACTAGTCTATTGTCTAAGATTAAGGGACACATTCTCAATTCGTAATTTTGATATTGCTCAACAACTATTTTCTATAAAAACAAACATTGAAGGCATTTTAATTTTTACAAAGAGCAGTTTTATATTTGGGGGTTGGTAAAGTATAACTGTTATTACTGTTCTTTCAGTAAATGAATGGCTCCTCAAGTAATTAAGACAAACAGGAAGAACTCCTAACCTCAGTGGAATGCTACTACTGTGAATTGACATAATCTAGAATGCACCCAGCCTCATTCACTCTTTGGATTCATGACAGTATGTGCAAACGTGCTGCAAGAAAAAAGCTGCCAAGATGGAAACTCAACTAAAAATTCATTCATCATAATAAAAAGACAATAACTACAGTAAATGTGATTACAATTTTGATACAGTTTTCCTGAACTAATTTAGCTTCACAAAGAAAGACTTTTCAGCCTTTGTACATATGAAATTCTTTCTTTCCTCCCCTTCAAAAGAAAAAATAAAAGAGGTGGCTCAGTACAGCATCAAAGTGGAGTTGTGTTCTGTGTGCCAAGTAATCTTTGGGAAGCTCATTATATCCATATCATTAACGGATACTGACAAGACAGAACAAGAAGATTGTAGAGGAAACTTATTTCTAGGTTATGATCCTTCTGTTTATTTAATTTAAAAAAGGACAGAAATTGAGAGATAAGTATTGTAAATATGTCACCGCAGAATATAAAGGAAATTGAAATATATCCCCCCCTTTGTCACATATCTGTAGTAGGATTTGCCAAGATCAGAAATGATCCATTTTCTGTTTCTTGTTTTACAAAGGTCATACATTGTGTTTGGTTACTGTTAACAACTCAATAAATGTGTTTAACAAATTAATTTAGTACACTTGCTTTGGTTTTATTTTTTTTCCTTTCTGAAATGATAAGCCTTTAGCACTTGTGGCAGCTTTACATTTCTTTTTTTACTTCATTTGTCTGCAGCCAGTTTAACTGAGCTAATGGCATTAGGAATGCATTTCACAAAGCTGGTGTAACTTTAATTCCATTTCATGGGTCATCATTAAGAAGAATTAGCTCCAGAAGTACAAGACGACTGAAAATGCATTAGTTTAAAATTACCCTTTCCCCAGTTTGAGGCCATGATTGATACACACAAATTCAACCTTGTAAATTGCTGGAAGGGATATATTTTCTTTACAGATGTAGCAGGAGCTGAGCAAGTTAAGCTAATGCCTTTTTTCTTGTTTATTATGGTCATTCACTGTGTTTGGTTACTGTCAAGAACTCAATAAATGTGTTTAACAAGTTGATGTGTGCATATTTTGATGTTCTTGTATATTACCAATGTCAAAGTTGTCAAATCAGTTGGTTCTCAACAAGCCAGGTCTCATCCCTCTATGATGTACCGTGATAGCTGTGATCATAATGGGGATGCTGCATATGATAAAGCCAAAGATGAAACTATCTGTGGCCAACCGTTCTCCTTAGCACACTTGCACAGAGACCAGCCAGAATTCTATTTCTTGATATGAGTGCATGGGAATCCCTTGCAGAGGAGTTAGGGCTGGGCTAAACAGCCAGGACTGTTGATGGGGTGGGGGTGTAAAGGACACAATTGCCCCAGGGTCTTCTGTTTCTAAATGGACCGGGGCTTCCAGCTGCTGTTACTGCCACTGCGACAGCTACTGGAGTCCCGAGCCCTTTAAAGTGCCGCTGGAGTACTCCACAGCACACTCCAGGAAGCTCTTAGGTCTGCCTGCAGAGGTGAGAGAGCTGCATAACGCACTCCAGGCAGTGCTGATGTGAGGGGAATGCAGTCCAGGCAGCACTGAGGGCTGGCTGCCCTTATTCCCGCCTCTTCCACACAAGTCCCCACCTCTTCTGGGAGCACAGAGCCGGCCCCACCCATCTCCTTGCCCAGGGATCTGGGGAGGCTGTTAGCTCCCCTGAAAATAGCACATGGCAAGGTGTGAGGCAAACAAGCCCATTGTCCTGGTGCAGTATCCTGCTAGCAGCTCTGAAGGGTCTGATTATCCACAGCCTATTTAAGCCAGCAAGAGTCTCTATTGACATCGGTGCGCTTTGCACTGGGCCACTAACGCAAAGACTGATAAATCCACAGTCCAGCCATACAAATGCCAATTCGATTTATAGTGTGGATTAGTAAAGTCAAGATCAACTGTTGAAATAAAAGCAAGATTACAGTGTTTATCCTATTTAATTAGCAGGAGTTGACAGTGCAATACACAAGTACCAGTAATCTAATGCTGTTTCCTAGGCACTTCACTAAAAGTCCCTGCATAGCTAGATCTTTAATTTCAGTTTAAAAACTTTAATGGAATCAGGTTTGGGTTTGCTCTTTGAAGCCTAATCTTGCAACTGTTCTCCAGTTGGGAAGCAAAGTTTCCAAAAGTACAAAGTCCAAAAGGTTTCAATCTATATTTTGGACAAATAGCTGACAGCTGTGCTCATCTGAGTTTGTCTGGTGACAGAAGGTAGGAAAGATAAGCCAGGTCCCCATTATAAAACTTTTAATAAGTAATAAAACCTATTTGGTATTTTACCGAGAGCTAGTTGAGGGGATTAAGAAAGAAGGAATGATATGATAGAAAAGGCTGGTCCCTGTGATGATTCATGCTGTGCTTTGGATTAAGTGAAACTGGCATATAGAAGACTTGCAAATAGAGAAATGCAGTAATCACGCTGGGATACCGCAAATGTATTTGTCAACATTTCCAAATCCATTTTGCAAACTAATGGACTCCATCTTGGCAAGATTTCTTTTAATGATAAAATGTAGTAGAGATAAGTCCAAACTAAAGCACGGGATCATATGGAAACATTCGTATCTGGATTCGAAAACTGGAGAAGCCTTTACCGTAGCCCAAATCAAAACTCTGAACTCCAATACCCACAATAGCTGCAAACATTTAGGTCACAATTCCATTTTTTCAGTTTCTTTCTCCAAACAGAGCTGAGCATAGAGACAATGTCATAAAGACGTAACCAGTCATGGAACATAACCCCTATGACCAATTGGCAAGACCTCTAGATAGCAGTGTATTCTCCGGCCACAGTGATAGGAGACAAAGGGCTACATGAAACACTGAAATGGCAGGGTGCTATGCCAAAGCACTGAGTTATATCACCCTACATAGATCAGACTTGCTGACAGAAACCACAGGGGAATGCAGCAAGAAACAGGAATATGGCTTGGCTTGGGGAGAGAGAGGAAGGTACCATTGCAGTCTGCAGATGAGCCGGGTGGAGTCACTTCATTGGCAGTTTAGCCAAAGGGTCCCACAGGATCAGCAGCAAAAAAACTTCAGCCACAGTTAGCATCGTAGATCTCGGCAAGCACAGTCTCATCGTAGATCTCGGCAAGCACAGCTAGAGCATGGACAAAAGCCTGAGTGGAGCTGTACACGTTTTCATTAAACGAGCTTTTCCTCATGAGGGTTTAAACAAAAACCACACATACCTAGCACTTTCCACAAACAGTGAGTTTCATACTGGGAGACAGCTGATGCATTCAATCACATCTGCTGAAGCAGTTCATGCCCACTGCAAACCAAAAACTCTCATTTATGCCCTTCCTGTCCCTAATAGCATGAATAGGGCTTTCAGGAATGCAGTGTCTTCACATGAATGAGGCCTCTTATCAATGCTGCTCCTCCGTTAGAAATGGGAGTGGTCACACTCAAAAAGGAGCAAGGCTTCCAGATGTGACTAGGTGATTTGGAGGGCCTCAGTATGGAGGCTAAACTCGGGACACTTTAAAGGAACCTGATTTACAATGACTGAGCACTCCACATTTGAGAATTGTACAAGGTGCACTGCATGAAAAAATTCCACCGTTAGAGATTAATTAAAAGCCAGTAAAAGAAGAGACTTTTACTTCAACATCCAAAAGGTCTGGAAGAAACAATAAAGCTTTAGAGCTGTGATATCTGAATCCCTCCCACTTTAATGACAAGCTCAATTTAAAAGGTTTGTCAGAGGCTGGAGAGAGATGGCAGGAGACAAATCACTTGATCATTGTCTTCGGTCCACCCTCTCTGGGGCACCTGGTGCTGGCCTCTGTCAGCAGACAGGATACTGGGCTAGAAGGACCTTTGGTCTGACCCAGTACGGCCGTTCTTATGTTCTTATATCCATCTTGTGTAAATCAGAACCATGGCCACATTGCAAAATTCTGACCTGACTTCTGAACATTCCATGTTTTGAGAAGTTTTGGATAGGGAGTCTTGCTGCGATCCATTACAGATACTCTAATCTCTCTCTTTTTCAAAATCAGTTTAATCTAATCATGAATCTAAAATACCTAATGATAAGCATAGTTTTTGTATGATAATACAATAGGGCAGAGTTATGGTTATTCAGGCGCCATAACTATGCATTTCTTAAATTAGACTAAAAAAAATCCAAACACATCAAGATAACTATTACTGTGACTTTCCTAGGTATATAATGGCTGCTTTGGGGATAATTACAACATTCCCATTATTTTTAACCAATAAATTACTGCTCCACTCTTTTACCTTTACTTCCACCTTAATGTCATTTTTCTTGAAATAGATTCAAGGGCCAACTATTCATCCTTGGTTGCAGATCCAGATTCCAAACCAAACCAATGTTAAAAACAGGTTTCGATCTGAGGTTTTGGTCCAACCCCATCTGTATAATAAATTCAGAGTTAAGTGGTTTATAAAGATGAGCAGAAAAAAATGCAGTTTGTAGATAGTATATCAAGCTGTTTTATAAATTTTAAATTCGAGAAAACCACAGAAAGGTAAGAGCCCAATATTTACTACAGGGGAAAGGGTGAGCAGAGAACTATATGGAAAGATTAGCCGTATAAAGGTGAACTCTGGACAGCTCTCACAATTGGTTTTACAGTGCTTGAGTCATTAGCAGGAGAGAGGGAAATAATGAGAAAGACATTTAAAACTGAAGTGACATTTCTAAACCCTAGAGAATGGAGGGGAATCAGAATCCATATGGAAATTTGCTAGTATTGATTTTTTAAATTGGATTTAAAAATCAACAGGCTTAAAGGAAGGTGAGATGGTTTAACATTTGAGTCTTGGGTCTAAGCAAGATTTTCCTCAAGATTTCTTTATGCAGTTGGCACATATGAGAAGGCAAAGAATATGTCCCCCTCACCTTTGGACACTAAGGCTACGTATAGACTGCACTCTTAAATCAGAAAAAGATACGCAAATTGCATATCTTTTTCAATTTAATTTTGAAAGAGGCTTTTTCAAAATTTCTCACGTCTACACGGCACCAGATTTCAGAAAAAAGTGCTCTTTCAAGCCATCCCTTATTCCTCATATAACGAGGTTTACAGGATGGTCAAAGAGCAGATCCTTTCGGAAAAAAATTTGAAAAAGCAGACACATTCCTTGGACGCAGCGTTCCTATTTCAGGATACTTCCAGTATCCCAAAAAAGCAATGCAGTCTAGACATTGCCTAATAGTTTAGAAACCAATTCCCCCTGCTCCAAAGCCTCTTGGACAATAGACCAGATTACCCCGGAGAAATAAGCGGCTGTAAACTACACATCAGAAATGTGGTCCTGGACATTTTTATAACCAATAAAACTCTTTTGCATAGTCCTAGATATGTCGACATGAGAAGTTATTGGAAAATGGCATATTAATTATTAAAATAGTTGAAAAAAAACCTATTTTGAGGCTATATAAAGAGGGAATGAGGAAGACAGAGGCATAGAAGAGAAATGTTTGCAAAAATACAGAATGTGATAGAAACAAAAGAGAAAGCAAAGCTCTCCCTTTCCCTCTCTCCTGTATTGCTGTTTTATTGGCACAATAATGCAGCAGCAAGAGATGTTGATTTCAGCTCTTGATTCCTTTC